TCAAGGAGGAGTCAATGTGGCTAGTCACCTGTTTGACAGGTGGTGGGCATCTTAAATATTCTGCCAATTCTATTTTGGAAATCAATGCTCTCTTGTTTCCTCTGTGCACTGCTGAGCCACAAGGGCAGCTATTTAGAATTGGTTGGGTTTTCTCGTGGTGTGTGGGAAATTTGCTTTAGTTCAGTGTACAGATGCAAAACATGATCTTTTCAGTTAAATAAAGCTAGTTCCTCCAGCAACAACCACCTCCAAGCTGAGTTAAGTTGGGTCTCTCCAGTGACCCTGCTCCTGATTCTTCCCACTCACCCATTAACCCCCATCATGTATATATTCCTTTCAACAGATTAATTATCCTCCCATACCCCATATTCCTAAATTCTTAGGATCTTGCAAACCAAGGAACTGGAACATGATGCCTTCAGATGCCTCCTACTTATGACTGCTAGTTATCGATTGCTACTTGATCAGTTAATATTAGCTATCGTGCAATTCTACAAGCCCAATTTCACTGGCGAGTTGACAGAAGAGATTATTGGCAGTAAGTTATTCCCTTCCTGCATGCTTCTGCTGCCTCTTCCCCACAGCCAGAGGCCTGCCATGGAAATGGTACAGTAGTTCCCCATCTGAGGCACCTGACTGTAAGGCAGTTACCTAGCTTTCACCAGCCTAAATATAAAAGTGAGGCTATGAAAGCTGCAGCAGCAGCAAGAGAGAGAGAGAGAGCAAGCAGGGAGGGCCAGACTGATTAATATGATGCTTGTCTGACAGTTTCATTATGAAGCCTGACTCAGAGTGCTTCACATCTTGTTTTTATCTTACATCTTGTCTTTGGCCTCATGTTCAGTCCTTCACTCCTATCACTCATCTGAACAGATTCAACCCCTTATTTTCAGAAAGGAAATATTTTTTATTAAAATTATAAATAATACTTATGATCTTCTCTTCCTCTGCAAAAGCTGAGTTTACTAGAAATTAGTTTAAGATAGGGTCACCCCCAACCAGAGACGCAATGTAAGAACATGAGCAGTGTTCCCTCTAAGCTGAGTCAGTGTGAGCTAGCTCACAGCTTTTTAGCCTCCAGCTCAGACATTTTTGTCTTAGCTCAGTAAGGAAGGCTCCAGAACAAACTAATTTATGCAGTAGCCAAACCACTCGCTCACAACTTTAATGCTGGTAGCTCACAAAATCGAATTTTTGCTCACAACACTCCACAGCTTAGAGGGAACATTGAAGAAGAGCCCTTCTGGATCAGACCAATAGTCTATCTAGTCCAGCATCCTGTCTCACATAGTGGCCAGCCAGTTCTTCTAGACAGCCAACAACAGAGCATAGAGGCCAAAGCACTCCCCTGATGTTGCCTCCTGGCCCTGGGATTCAAAGGATTAGCATCTCTGAATGTGGAGGTTCCCCTCAGTCACCATGGCTAGTAGCCATTGATAGACTTATCCTCCATGAAATCCATTTAATCCCCTTTTAAAGCTGTTTATTCCTGTAGCCATCACTACATCCTCTGGCAGCAAATGCCACATTTTAATCACTCTCTGTGTAAAGTAGTATTTCCTTTTGTCCATCCTGAACCTACTGCCTATCAGTTTCATTGGATGCTCTCAAATTCTAGTATTTTTGGGAGAGAGAGAGAGAAAAGTTCTCTTTGTCAATTCTCTCCACCCCATGCATAATTTTATAAATCTCTCTCATGTCCCCCCTTAGTCTTCTCTTCTCTAAACTGAAAAGTCCCAGACTCTTCAGCCTTTCTGCACAGGGAAGGTGCTCCAACCCTCTAATCATCTTGGTTGCCCTCCTCTGTACTTTTTCCAGCTCTGCAATGTCCTTTTTGAAATACAGTGACCAGAACTGTACACTGTATTCCAAATGATGCAGTACCATAGATCTATACAGGGGCATTACAATATCAAATGTTTTATTCCCAGTCCCTTTCTTAATAATCCCTAACATAGAGTTTGCCTTTTTCATAACTGCAGCAACCTGGGTTGACCCCATTAGACTATACTTGAAGTTGGGATTTCTTGTTCCAATGTGCCTCACCTTACATTTACCAACACTGAACTTCATTTGCCACATTGTCACCCACTCACCCTGTTTGTGGAGGTCCCCTTGGAGCTCTTCACATTCAGCCTTGGTTTTCACCATCCTGAATAATTTTGTGTCATCTGCAAACTTGCCCACTATACTACTAACCCCCAGTTCCAGACCACTGATGAACAAATTTAATAGTACCAGCACCAATACCGATCCCTGTGGGACCCCACAGCTTACTTCCCTCCATTGTGAGAACTGTCCATTGATTCCTACTCTTTGCTTCTTGCAGGGCCATAGCCAGGATTTTTTACTTCAGGGGGCATTTAAATAAGTCAGGGGACACTGTCAGGAGTGACAAGAGAGTACAAGTTTTAAAAAGTGACAAGAGGGAGAAAGGGTTGGAACAGGGAGCAGACATGCCCTGTGACGTGTCTCACTCACAGCCAGTTAGAGGTGCACTGCTGGCAGGCCGGGCAGGGCAACAATTTGGCTCAGCGTGGCCATGGCACATGTGAAAAATAAAATAAAACAAACCAGCTGGATGGGAAGTCAGGAGGCCTTGGCGGTAAGGGGGGGGCTGGCCCCGAGATGCTTTTAAAAAGTGACAAGAGGGAGAAAGGGTTGGAACAGGGAGCAGACATGCCCTGTGGAGTGTCTCACCCACAGCCACTTAGAGGTACACTGCTGGCAGGCAGGGCAGGGCAACAATTTGGCTCAGCATGGCCATGGCACATGTGAAAAATGAAATAAAACAAACCAGCTGGATGGGAAGTCAGGAGGCCTTGGCGGTAAGGGGGGGGCTGGCCCCGAGATGCCCTGGTGTAGCTACGGGCCTGGCTTCCTGTCATGTAAGCAGTTTTTAATCTGTAAGAGAACCCATCCTCTTATCCCATGACTGCTAAGTTTACTCAGGAGTCTTTGGTGAAGTACCCTGTCAAAAGCCTTTTGAAGGTCCAGGAATATAATATCTACTGAATCACCATTGTATATATGCTTGTTCACTTTCTCAAAGAACTCCAAACGGTTGGTGAAGCAGGACTTCCCTTTGCAGAAGCCATGCTGATTTTCCTTCAGCAGGCCTTTTCCCTCTATGTGCCTAACAATTCTATCTTTGATTACAGTTTCTAATAAATTGCTTGAAACAGATATTAGGCTGACTGGCTAGTAATTTCCTGGTTCCCCTCTGGATCCCTTTTTTAAAAATTGGTTTAACATTTGCTAATCTCCAGTCTTCTGGTACAGTAGCTGAATTTACTGATAGGTTACATATATGGGTTAGTAGATTAACAATCTCACATCTGAGATCCTTAAGAACTTCTGTGTGTATGCCATCAGGACCAGTGTTCCCTTTAAGCTGAGTTAGTGTGAGCTAGCTCACTGTTTTTTAGCCACCGGCTCACATATTTTTATCTTAGCTCAGGAAGGATGGCTCCAGAGCAAACTAATTCATGCAGTAGCCAAATCGCTTGCATACAACTTTAATGCCAGTAGCTAATAAAGTAAGATTTTTGCTCACAAGACTCCACAGTAGCTCACAAAGTAAGATTTTTGCTCACAAGACTCCACAGCTTAGAGGGAGCATTGATCAGGACCTGCAGACTTACTGGTTATTAATTTCCCCAGTAGGTCTAGAACTTCATACCTGGTCACCTCAATTTGGCTCAGTTCTTCAGACTTCCTTCCTGAAAACAGGGACTGTGGCATCAGTACATGCCCCACACTTTTCACAGTGAACACAGAAGCAAAAAAAGTCATTGAGCTTCTCTGTCATCTCCCCGTCTTCCTTTTGCAATCCCTTTATCCCTTCGTCATCCAAAGGCCCCAGTACTTCTCTGGATTTGGGTAGCCCCTGCTCCCCTGCTGGCTTTCTACCTTCATAACTAGCTAGTGGTTTAAAGGTGTCTAGAGTGATGCAGGGTCCTCAGGTCTGATCCCCAGGTTAAGAGCCGCAGGCCAAGAGCCCTTTGACTCTTGCTAGGGTTGCCAGTCCCCAGGTCCTGGTTTTCGAGGCTTCAGCCTGCTGCCAGCCAGCGGGGAAAACCCTGCTCCCAAACAGCCACATCCCTGTGTGACATCCCCAACATGATGACATCACCCGGAATTGATGTCCTCAGATCGGAGAAGTCGTGTGGAACACTCTGGTTGAGGGCAAAAGTCTATGGTAAATTTGGCCTAAAACCACAGAGTTTTGCCCTCAAACCAGAGCATTGCTGTGCAATGTCACCACTGCAATGACATCACTTTCAGGTGATGTCATTGCATCAGGACATCCTGGAACAGCCCCCAAATTCCCCTGCCGGCGCAGCAAGGGTACCTGGCAACCCGCACTCTTGCCCTTCAGCTCGTGCCTCTGCCTAGGAGGAGCCTTGCAGTTCAGTCCCACAGGCCCCACCTCCCAGAAGCAACGGCAGAGGATAGGCCTGGAATCAGCCCCAGGCATACAATGGTCTGGAATGCCTGAATAGTCTGGAATGCCTGAATACCAAGAGTGCCTGCCTCACCTATGGTTGTGTCTTAATGGGATGGCGGCTGCCTCTGAATTCATATTTTTTTTTCACTGAATGCTCATAGGTAAAATGGGGATTCTAATTTAGATCAAGGAGAGTATCCAGGAGTCACTCTCAGGTAGCATTTATTCCAGATTAACTAGTGTGGAATACAGCAGTATGCTAGTTTAAATTACTGAAATTCTTACTTTAAAAAGAAAATGAAATAGTATCCTTGTAAATTTTCTCATCATTATATACAACACTATTATTACACTCAATGTAAGGGGAAAAGTTTGAACAGGCCTAGGACAACCAAAACTCTCTGATCGATCCGCATGACTCATAATGACTGAGATGCCCCTGGTTGTTCCCTCTTCCCCAAACTCCCCCCTCTCAGCATTCACAGGCATTAGAGACATTCCAAATCAATACAAACATTCTAAATGAAAAGCAAAGATGAAGAGTCCAGGGCATTAGCCAAGTTTAATGAGAGTAGTGTACACTGGACAACTGTTCATATTTTGGCTCCTTGATTCGTAGATGGTTAAAAGTTTTCATTGTCGTGCAGAGGACTGAACAAGAGTCTCAAAATATAAATGCATTTTAAATAGTCTCTGTCAATCTGACGAAATGTTTCAGCATGCATGAAAGTAAACAAAATTTCAGGAAAGTCATACATTTTGCATTGCAAGTGAATGCTAGTGAAGAAATCAGGCTGTTTGCAATTTAACCCATATGGCTTATCTTCCTTTTTGATATCCAAAATAAGCATCTGTCTGATTTATGCATAAGAAGAATCTTTAGATCAGTTTACGCAGTTTCTTTCCTATATTGAAGTCCAAATATTCATCCAGAAAGCTATTCACAATCCCCGTGGTGCCTAAGGCAATCAAGAACATCAAAACTACCAGATTCAAATAAAAGCCTGTTAACCTAAAAGACAAAAATGGAAAAGAAGAAAAGTTAGACACATACACAATAGTATGCTTTCTGCAGCTATAAGAGCTACATGGAAAACCATCTGAGAAATATTTCAAAATAGATCTCATTTCATATTATTTCCCCTCTGCTTTTTAGAATCATATGACTTTACCACTTAAAATCCACATAGCAAATTCACAGCATTGGCAGACCATCACAAATGATTGTAGTAACCTCTACACCAGTTAAAACAAAGTAATTCTCTACACCAGTTAAAACACAGTGATGTAAAGCAGTGCATTTCAAACTTACTCCTTTAGGAAACCTGTCTAAATAAGTGATAGCTTAGCAGACAAGCTACATCATGCAGGGGAGTCCGAAGCATGATATCAGGCATATGCCCAGCTCACGATAAGCTTGAGCCAGACCTCCTGGCAACTTGTAGAAACTGTGTCCTAATATATGATATTCCCTCAAGGCTGCCCATTACAACTGAAGAAAGTTGGCAAACTATCAAGGAACTTCTTCTGCCACTGATGTCTTTACTACTGTCTTTACTACTGAGGAGCTCCCAAGGTACAGTAGAATTCCTTGGAATACAGGCAGCAAGCCATGCATCTAATGGATATAAACACGGCCGAGACTTACCTAAAAGGCCGGATTACTGCGTGGGTAAGGAGGGCTGGAGGAGGTCTTCTCCCCCACCCCTTCGGCCTAACAGCCAGCAGAGGCAGGAAACTGAAGCGACCGTGTTGGCTGGCTCCACACCAGCTTGGGGGGGGGGGGAAGCTGATTGGTGATTTGGCGGGCTGCACAGTGATGATGTGGAGCCTGCCCGGGAGGATTTAAGCTGCACTGCCAGGAAGCGGGGCAGTGCGATTTTCGTTGGATCCCCACCCACATTCCCTGGGTTTAAAAAGTTTCTCTACATTCGTGCTGTCATAGCTGGCAGTTTTTGCGCATCTGGGGTGGATCCTTTTCGGGGAGAAGGGCCTATGTGTCCACCTCCCCCTTTTTGGGGACCCCCTTAAGGGGTCTGGGGGTTTGAGCCAATACGCAGTAGGCCCATCTCGGGGGCTGTGCCAGGCTCACCCCAGGTGTCAAATCGGTACCATGCAGAGGAAGCCGCCCTTGTGATACCAGTAGTATTTGTCACTCCTGGGTTTTTCCCTCAGCAGGCGGGCTGAGGGACGTGGTTATCGGGTGGCAGGCGAGTCGCTCGATTTTCCAGGATCCACCCCCATGCTTCGCCAATGCTCCTTGTTCTGTGATCAATAAAAGCTGTGGCCTGTTTTCTATTCCAAAATTGTTGTGTGGTGTGTTTGTTGTGGACCTCTGCAGGACCTCTCCTTACTAAGCCCTGCGCCAGCAAAAAGCTGTCTTGTACTGAGTAAACTCTAGGATCTAGGTAGTTCCATTAGTTCTGCCTACTGCCCAATCCCAAACTTGTACCTCTAAAAGTTTCAGGTAGCTAATAACAAGGACCATGGGGATTATGGGGTTTAAATTATGGTGGAAAGGTACCAGCTGGATATTAGGAAAACATTTTTTACAGTAAGGGTAGTTCAGCAGTGGAATCGGCTGCCTGGGGGGGGGGGGGGGCTCCCCCCCCCTGTGAGTCTCCAACAGCAGCTGGATGGACACTTGTCAGGGATGCTTTAGGCTGATCCTTCATTGAACAGGCAGTTGGACTAGATGGCCTAGATGGCCCCTTCCAACTCTGTGATTCTATACCTGCTGAATATGTGATCTACCAGACAACAGACAGACAGGTTCTGCTACAACAGTATTGGGATACTCAGTTGTCCTTTATTCTGTTGCTTAACATAGTTACATTTCAGGCTGGGTTTCTTGTGACCAGGCCAACAGTTTCGCAAAGGCTCTCCATTATAGCCCTTTCATGCATCTTTGTAAACATCTAAAGTTTTCATGGCTCTGCATTAACTTTCATCTGGAGCCAACATGAGCAAAACTGGTTATCTTCCTTACCTTCCTTTCACAGACTCTGCATAGCCATGAAAGTATTTGTGACGTGCAAACATATATATCAGGCCACCAATTGCAGCTATTTCTGAGAAAGATCAAAGAAGAGAAAGTCAGCAAAACCATATTAAAGCCTTCATAATACTTAATTGATTATTTGAATTTAAAAAGTGCATAATCTTTAACCAATTATTTCAACTTAATTTATTTAGTAGTTATTTTAATCACTTTCATTCTGCTTCTTCTCCTGGGCCCACAGCAATAAACACAAACTGTTACACCCAAATACTCCAATAAATGTAAGAAGAGTTCATGTCTGTCAAGAGGAGACAATGAGGGAATAAACAGCAAGTAGAATTAACAATGTTCTCTGTTTAAACAGAAAGGTCTTGATAAACACGGAGGAACTGCCAAGGCACAGCAGTAAAATGCAATATGCAACCATATCTTTTAAAACAAAGATTATTTAACAGAAGCTATTGTGACTACCTTGATTGAAAAACCATCCAGCGATCCACAAGGTCACTACGAAGATAGGGTAAAACTCCACACAGTTCTGCCTACAAAATAAACCGATTGGAATATGATCTAAGTAAGCAGGGTGAATATAAGCAAGTGTACACCATTTTAAACAGCAGGTATTTATGCAACAGTAGAGTTAATCTGTTTTGACATTAGTGGCCAAAATCTTCCATTGCAAAGACCACAAAAAGTTGCAATGCTTCCTACTTTCAACAGTCAGAGGAGGTGATGAAAGCCTCAGATTAATACAAGATTTCAATAGGCAACTGTTCTGGGTGATCCCCATCCCCCACAGACTACAGCTCAGAGACCTTCAAGAGCAAGAGAATACCCATGACTCATAGACAGAAGCCTGTAGGAAACGTGCTTCACTTTTGGATACTAAAACAAGTATCAAATTTGCAAGTTAGGGCAAAACTAGACAGGGCAATGGAATCTGTGTATTTATTCATGTATCTGATTGTTCGTTTGCCAAGCAGGAGTTGTGGCTAGGGGGTGTCCTTTTTTTAAACTAAGTATGTGGTGCTGCCAACAAACTTTCATTGTAGGCTCCATCCAAACATCATTGGATGCTGCAGCACCATTGTACTGTAGCGGTAATTCACAATCGGATTGGATTGTCCCACACAGTGCTACCCAAAAACATAAAGCACATAGGGAACACATACTAGCTAAGAAGAAGATGAAGGGACTAGTGGTGAAAAGCAATTCAGGGAAGGCGACAGTTACCAATCTTGGAGAGCGAGGTCTGCAGCAGAAATGAAATGAACAGCATTTCACAGAGAGAAGAAGGCCCACGCACAAGTGGGGTGTATGGGGGATCCAAAACATACCCACCCACTGCCTGCTTGATATAAGGAAAATGTTCCCTGTGGCTATGCTGACGTGATCACCCCAAAGCGGTTAGGTTTCCAGTGATGGACAGAAGGCTTTGATGTGTTTATTTGGAAGAACCTTGATGGGTTTCCCTGAGGTGTAACCTAAAGGTATGAATGTTCCTTGATGACCCAATGATTGCTGGATGGGAAAACTACCAGCTTTGAAGTATTGCTAATTTGCGGCAAATGGGTCAGGAGAGAAAGCAAGGCTGGAGTTGACCAAGGTGAGATCACAGCTTCTTGGGAAACCTATTGTCCTTAATTATGCATCTCCTTAGGGTGGGGGAGGATTGCTGGTTAGTCAGCCAAAATGACTTACCTTCAAAAATAAAAAAAATATTGCCCTGACCTGGATAGCCCAGGCAGGCTTGATCTTGACAGATTTCAGAAGCTAAGCAGAGCCGACCCTGGCAGGTACTCGGAAGGGAGACCTCCAAGGAATACCAGAGCTGGGACACAGAGACAGGTTATCAAGCCATCTCTCTGAAATGTCCTAGCCCCACTAGGGGTCACCAGAAGTCACCATGATTTCCAGGCTCACAAGCACGTACACACACACACACAAAATACTCACAGAAATAGTAAAAAAGAAAAAGAAATATTTTCCCATGCCTGTTTCTGGCTTGTCACTTGGCTGGACTCCATTTTGTGTCACTTTGGGCCAGACAGTGTATATATATTTATTATTTTTGGGGTGATACATGTATGGGGGGTGTTTTTCCTTTCTCTCTGTGTGTGATAAACTGCCCCTCAGAATGCAATTGGTCAGTCCAATTGCAAATGACTACTGATAGCTCACTATCCAGTGATGTATGGATGCAGCTGTAGCTTGTCTTTCTCCCCTCTTTGAACTTGACCAGTTTTGCTTCTCCCAGTTGATGTAAAGCCAGTAAAGGAGGTTTGCCACATTACTACAACAAAAATGGGAGAACCAGCAGAGTAAGCAGAACCATCACATTGACTGAGGAAGACAGCCATTCCAGACAGAAGCCTCGCCTCACCCAGTACTGGACAATCAGATAATTAATTAAGGCCTTCCAGTAATTAATCAACATGCCTTTAGCTAGAAGAGAACCCTGTGAAATTAACATTTCCCAAAGTTATCTTTCCTTTGACTGATCTGATTTGTACTGTTTCGAATTACCCCCCCCGAAGTCACCAATGATGCAGCCTAATATCTGTTTCGGGCAAGTTCCAAAATACCCACCTCCCTACTTGAATACCTCCCCTCTTTTGCCTTTTTTGAAAAAGTACCCAAGGCCATTAATCATTCCAGCCTCATTCCAGTCCAGTCATGTTGCACACCTGAAATCCCAGACTGCCCCCTCCCTTCTTTCCATCTTTTGTTCTTGAACCTGACTGCCTATTCTATAACTGGGTGAAAGAACTGGATCCACACCAAATGCTCCTCTAGATTCATTCCCTGTGTGCAGTTACCGATGCTTCCCATTCTGGGCATATTAAACATCTCTCAGGTTCTCTTTGTCGGCCTGTGTATAAGAAATGCCTTAACAAGATTGCAGCCTGTTAGGCAGATCATGGTGATCTAAATGACAGTCAGAGGTCACATGACTGGACATATTGCATCAGCCTACAGGAGGTGTTTCAGTGACTCAGCATCTCTGTGCTGACTGGATATGTGGACTGACCCATGTGTGTATATAAGTCTGTGCTGTATATACCACTGTATGCCAGTATGGTATCAGGTTGCTTGGCGAAGCAGTTTGTCAGTTGAAACTGTGAATGCTTAGTTATAAGGGCTGTGTATATAATGTAAATAAAAGTGTAAATAGCACCAACCTAAGCTGGTATATGCAAGTTCTATATGACTCTGCAACACTCACTACTGGAACAGGAGATATATCATCAGCCATCATTGACCACAGTACCGACACTCTTCCCTTTTGAATTGTTTGCTGCCCATATCTTTGAATCGCTGACTTATAATTAGAACTCAGAAGAATACAAACAGATACAGCCAGTCTCCTGCTTTACCTCTTCTTGCCTCTGCTAAGGTGAACCAACCATACTGAATGCTTGGAGTTACTGGCTTTTGATATAGACTTCTTGTATTGGGAAGTGTAATTGTGAATACTTGGTATTATTCTAACTGCTTGTGTTGCTAATACTAAATACTTGCATTATTCCCCTCAATAAATTTTATATCCCATTTCACTATATTTTCATTCTCAGTGTTCCTTTCAAGTCTGTAGAGGTGACTCACTGCTTTGTCAAAAGATCCCTTATAACCATTTGTGTGTCACTGCCTGGATTGAGGGGTGTTCCTTTAAGCTAGATACGGACATAGAACCTAAACCAGCAGCTCCTTTAGCACAGAAGAGGAAACAGAAAGTAGCTCCTTATGTTCAGATGACTTCAGAATAGATTTAAAGCTAGGCTATATTCACACTGACAGGAGTATAGTCACATCCTCCAGAACATGCATGATAACCAAAGGTGAGGAAAGCGAAATCCTGCACTACCACCCTTCTTACCTCACTGCACTCTGCTACTTCAAGCACAGTTCTTCCAGTGAGGCTCACTGATAACAAAACACCTTCCTCAAGTTGATCTGATTAGAATTACCCACCCACACCGCATGTCAATAACCAGCATGTCCCCAAATGAAACGGTTTAAAGAAGGGATGTGCAGCAACATAAAGAGGGGACAAGATTCCGCTCCTTCATCTGTGTGCTCTGTTTTCAGCTTATTAAAAAAAGCCCCCTCCAATTTACACAGGAACAGTCAGACCTGTCAATAAATACATAGGGGTCCATCTTGCATTTAGTTTGATCCTTAGATACCTACGTAAGAATGGCCTTTTTAATGCACTTACTGAGCACGGAACGTCCTCTCAAATTCTGGTGGCCCAGAGACAGCTGGTGGCATGATCTTGTGTTTTAGTCTTGACCTTCCCACAAGCCAAGCAAAGTGACCTGCAAGGAAAGGTGAAAGGCCAAGGATTACAAGATGTGCAGTACAGTTACAGTGGCATGATTCCCAACAGAAATGTTATGTTTTAAGCCTTGCATCCAAAATGTTCTTGTCAGCTAGGAGCACTTATCAGAACTTCAAAAGTGCATCATGAATGACACAGACATTTTTTGGAGTGCAACAACTCCACAGTGTTATGAAGATGCTCCATTCAAATCTGACCTGCACTTAAACATATAGCTTTTATTTAAAGGCAGAAAAAAACAAGGGTAATAGAACTGGGAGTTCTGAACAAAGCAGTGTCAATAATAAAAATATGTTGAGTAGCCCCGAATTTTGGGTGAAAAGAGAAGTCTCTTCAGTCTCTGGGCTCTGTCTCACAAACCACAAACAGATCTCACTGGATGTTTGGGCGAGGTCTTTCTTCTTCACAGAATGTGAGGAGCCACTTTTCCTCACAGCCACAGAAGGAGAAAACTCTTCAACATTTCAGAACAAAAGGCCCACGCCGGAAGATGGCCACTCTTCTGCCAGCTATCCTTCTCAAGGCCCCACAGGCTTTTCTTTGCTGGAACTTCTTCCATAGACCCTTAATCCTCCTTGACTGACCATTCTGGCTTAGTGTATGCCAGCTTTTGAGACTGGGTCCCATTACAGCCATGCTTGAATAAGAATTATTCGAAACGCGGCAACAGGCATCCGGATTACGCGTCGGCTTTTTATGGCTCAGAAAATTTGATGAATTGTACTCCAATTTGGACTTTGATATTGCTTCTATGCTGGAGTAGACAAATGGAAAGACTGTGACTTGTTTCTATTATGATTTATTATTGCACTTTGGCCTATTGATTTATATCATACTTGTTATGTTTATTTGATTTATATTATACTTGCTGTTATGCTTATTTGATCATTATATACTTGCTTACTTGCTTGTGTGTTGTTATTTTTTGCCAGTGGTGTTCTTTTTTGTTTCCTGCATTGTACACTGGCTTTCCCCCCCTCTTTTTTTGGCATCCTCCAGGTGGTGGCTGGAAATCGCCTGGGATTACAACTGATCCCCAGGTGATAGGGATCAGTTTGCCTGGAGAAAATGGCCACTTTGGAAGGTGGACTCTATGGCATTATACCCTGCTCGCGACCCCTCCCCAAACCCCACCCTCTTCAGGCTCCACTCCCAAAATCTCCAGGTATTTCCCAGCTGGCAGCCCTAGGAGAAAAGCACCTCAGCTTCTTTTCCTTATCTTGGAGTTTACCCTTTTCCCTGTTCTGTTGCCAAGATAACTGCTCACCCAGCCTCTGTGTGGAAATCACCTCCCTCTAGAGGGAGGTCCCAATATACAAGGGGAAACAGGTCAGAAAACATTCTAACAATACAATATCTTTTAAAGACTTACAGGGGTAATGATAGATTCTACAATGCCCTGTACATAAACTAGCTTTACTGGTGTCTGTATCTTGAACTGGGAAATAGCAACATCCCCCAGTCTTTGTAGCAGTAAAGCCTTTGTGCTCATTCCGTAGGTACCAGAAGTGAAATATCCATGGTGGAACCATCTCTTTGCAAGGTACAGAGATTTTTTTTCTCCTTCTCTCATAATATTACAGCTCAGGATCACGCAACAAAACAAATGGTTAGTAGATCTGGGGAAGATGAAAGATGGCCACTATCTTAAGATTTTTTTAAAAGACAAATAGTACTTAATCACTAAGTTATGGCCCCACCTCCTTTCCAAAAGGCAGTTCCTAAAGGTTCCCATCTATATACTGCCTGACAAGTTTGATTTGAACTGAGGACTCTAAGATGGGGTATATGATAAGGGTATTATGCATACATCATGCCACTTTGCAGCCATCACCATCGGGAGATTCTGTTTTTGCCTAATGGCTCAATACTTATAGGGGGCTATTTTTCAATGATGGTGCAAAGAGACAATCTTTAAAAGGTCTAAGGAGGTATACTAAACAGTCCCCTACCATGTGACTGGTAGCCAACAAAACTAACGGTTTACCACATGGTGATAGACATCAAGTACATGGCTTCCTGGGGCAAGTGCAGCATGATCACTGGCCCTTCACTTCCAGGATGGGGAGTTTCTCCTCCTCCTCCAGGACATTTGTTCAGAATGTACAATGTCGCCTATTTCCTTCACTAAGCTCACCTACTGCTGTGATTCTTCATTTCTTTCCTCCTCCAGCATTTTCTGCTTGGTTTAATCCCTTCCTGTAATGCTTGTTGCTCACACGCAGATGGTTCTGGGACACTGGCAGCTGTACCTCCTGACTGTAGTTTGTTTTGCGAGGTGTGCCAGAGGTCATATTGCCCAACTGTTAACTCTCAGAACATATGCTGAGTGGAAAAGTATATTATAGGTGCTTTGTCACTACCAGCCTTCCAGGAGCAGCCAAGGAAGCAGATAACGGGGTGCTGATCTTCTCTAACACATTCACAGCCTATGATCCTTCCCTAAAATGCAATGTTCCGCAGTAGTCCTACTGGAATCAACAGAAACTGATCTCTGCACAACATAGGCCTCAGAATGTTAAATCCAGTATTATGCTGAGAAAGGCAAATGCTGCCATTTCAGAAGGCAGTTATTTCCCCTCGACTTATGCCCACTGTATTTATTCAGATGTTTGCCAAAGCAAAATACGTTTTATGCAGGGATCGTTTTGTAGAAAAAGAGCTAGGGGAACTCATTAACATATGCCACACCCCCTGACATCACCGGAAGTGTGTCATAAGGCCACACCCCCTGACATCACCAGAAGTGTGTCATAAGGCCACACACCCCGACCCCAACGGTCCCGGCCGCCTCCGCCGGCCTTGCAGCTCCACTGCCAAGCCCCATCAGGGGCCCGGCGGTGGACCTGCAAGGTCGGCGGGAGGGCCAGGAAGGCACGCGAACGCCCTCCCTGGCCCCAGGCAGGCAGGGGTGGGGAGAGGCAGGGAGGAAGCAACTTACCCTCCCTCTTCTCCTGCCTTCTCCTGGCTGAAAGAGGGCCGGAAGCGGGGCGGCCGGAAGCAGGGGGCGGGGCTTCGTCATGTGCCCTGCCCCCGTACCTCACCCGGGGGAACTGTGATCCCCCGCGATCCCCCCCGAAATGACCTCTGGTTTTATGAGTTAAAAACATATAGGTCAACCCAGACTTCTAAATTCAGGTTCACAAAATGACACATTTTATTTAAGTGGAATTGAGTTTCATTTACTTCATCCAGTTTTCTTGAAACGTATGATTCTTAGAATGTTTACATGGATAGCCCCACCAGTGTACTGAATAAAACAAGGAATAAGTCCCTGCATGTAAAAACCTGACTTTATTAAAATACTCTTGTTCTGCTTAAAAAAAAAAATCTGATCCCATCACTCTGGCACAGTATAAATACTAGACATGACCTGATTGATAGTTTAATCTGACAGGTCTGAAGGATGGACTTGGATGGAAGTCTTGCTGCTGCTTTCACTTTTAAACATGGTGCACATGGTATTACCTGAACATACGAAGCTGCCTTACATACCAGTGACCATAGTTAGTTAATTTATATGGATATTTATAAACTGGTTTTCTCCCCAGTGGGGACCCAAAGTGGCTCTCATTGTTGTCCCCATTTTATCCTCACACCTCCCTGTGAAGTAGGTTAAAGTGACTGGCCCACCATGGTCACTCAGCCATCTCCTGTAGCAGAACGGGATTTGAACCTGTATCTCCCGGATCTTAGTCCATCACTAACTGCAACACTACACTGGCTCATTAATACCTTGATTGGCTCCCCATGATCTTAAAGAAAGTATTTTCATTTATCAATAGTGATGTCACAAGCATTTAGTAATTAACTATAAACACTCAGACATCTGTTACACTAGAAACTGATATTCTAGAAATGCTCTTACACTAAAAAGTAGGGGTTAATGCTTACAATTGCATGATTTCTTTGGCACCCATTTTTCTCTCTTCAGTTGATGCCATCTCCTTGCTTCAGAGAAGCATAGAGCTTATTTTGCAATGAAGAGAAGTTGCCAGTTTGGCTTGCCACTATCTCTACATTCCTACCATATGATTTCCAGATGTGGTACAACTGATGCCCAGAAGAGACAAATCCAAAGAAAGGGCTCTCATGCTTTTGCTCATTGTCAACTTTAAAAAATTCAGCCCTCTGGAATTTAAAAATATTCATATCAATGAATCAGTTCAGCCTAATGAGCCAAAAAGCAGACCTGCCAATAATCTTATAACACACTTACGAGCTGGGAATGAATAGCAACTAGCAATTTTTTTACTAATAATACAACTTTAAGTTCCCCTTCTGAATGTATGGAGGCTGTGGTGGTTCAAGCGGTTAAGACGCTGAACTGCCGACCAGACGGTCGGGAGTTGGGCAGTTCGAGACCCGAGTGTGCCGCAAGATGGAGTGAGCTCCCGTCTCTGGTCCCAGCTCCTGCCAACCTAGCAGTTCGAAAGCAAGAAATTGCAAGTAGATAAACAGGTACCACTTCGATGGGAAGGTAACAGCGTTCCGTGCGCCTTGGCATCTAGTCATGCCAGCCACATGACCACAGAAACGTCTTTGGACAGTGCTGGCTCTTCAGCTTGGAAACAGAGATGAGCACCGCATCCCTAGAGTCGGATTCAACTGGCTTTCGAGCAAGGGAAACCTTTACCTCTGAATGTATAATGTTTGTAAACCATTTTCTATTCTGAACTACCTAATTTGTTCTCAGTAAGTTTCTCAGCTCAACCCATGATTTATAAAAGTTTGATAAGGAGTTTAAATACATTTTTAAAAATAGCTAACACTATCTCCATAAAGATATTCAAGCTGAACAAGAACATCAAAGTTGCTTCACTAACTTTGAGTCCAGATTGCACAAGCTGTGATTTGCTGTAGCTTTCCAGTCATTTACTTGCTGTTCCTTGTCCTAGCAGCTTGGACTTTAAATGGGGCAAAGTGCAAGACATATCTGTAGGGAGAACTTTCAACTCTCATCCCCACAATTTCAGATAAGAGAAGTACCATATGAAAACTTTTATCATTTCTCCTGGCTGAAGGCTATTGCCAATGGTTTAAAAAATAATAAAACTGGCTGCTGCAAGGGGCAGGGGAGAAGGAGTTGAGATGATAATTTTCCAGCATTCAACTATAGTTCCTAACTGTTGGGGAAATGAGATGTTCTTTGCTACAATCTGAATGCAATACCGCCACTTAGAATTTGTAGCACATCAGAGAACTGCTTCAAATACATTGGGTCAGATCCAGCCACTTTTCCCACTCAATCTCACCCAATTCCCCCCTCCCCATACTACAGACCGCAACCCACATGGTTTTCATGTATGCAGGTCCCACAAATCCCAGCATAGCCTTTTACATTGGTCACAGGGGACCCCTCCTTCCTTTTTCACCAGAAGAAAAGCTGGTTGGAACCAACCCATTATCTTCTATTTCTTAGCTCTCCTTGGTAAGGTAGGCCAGTATTATTCCCAGGTTGCATATGGAGGGGAAGGGAAAGCTGAGACTGAAAGGGGGCAGTTTGCCTATGACCTGAGAGTTCATCACTCAAGGCGAGATTCAAATGAAGGACTTGTGGTTCAGTCTCTCACTACACATGGGCTGTGGCTGTACTATAGGCAAGGGCACTTTGTGATCTGCTAGGACTTTCTAGTATACCAACAACACAATGCTGCTAGTCACAGTTTGTTTTTCTCATAAGCTTTCTTCCCTTTTTATTCTTCTGTCAGTGACCTTTCACTGAAACCCACCCAGCCCCTCACAGCAAGAGGCTACTATTTGGATACCCTTCGAAAATTCCTCAGAGGCTGCTCTCCTGCATTGGAGTGCTCATCTCCCATTAGACAGGCACACACATTAGACAGGTAGTCCCTCCCCCTTCTGTAAAGGCTCAGAGGCTGTAATTCAAGGAAAGACCCGTCTGTCTGTCTGTGTGAAGTGCCACAAAGTCACAGCCTACCCCAAGAAGAGGCTTTCAAGGCAAGTGAGAAACAGAGGTGGTTTACCATTGCCTTCCTCTGCAGAATCTTCATTGGTGGTCTCCCTTCTAAGTACTGACCATGCTTAGCTTCCAAGACCTGACAAGATCCGGCTATATGATACCGCCTTCTCTCCCCCTCTATCTATATAATGATAAAAAAGTTCTTTGACACTTGAAAATTTGTTCAAACCAACCAACACAATTAATCAATCATCACTTCATTTATTTTGAGTTACCAACATGGAAATGCTAAGACAATGACTGCAAAGCACTGACAATAACCTGGCAGCCATTCCTGGAGTTCACTGCTTATTCATTTGTTCCTAACAGTCCCCTGATGGTCTCCTTCCTCTAAGCCATCTGTTTGTCATGACTGGCCATCGCCTGTAGCTTTACATTATTTTTTCTCCTGGAAAAGAACATTGTTTTGCAGTTCCTAGCTTTGTGAGAGGCCTAATACAATGGTATGCTTGCCATGTCTAAGCTGTACCATAACGACGATGCCTCAAAGAGAGATTTGAGAGTTATCTTTAAGCTATCTGATTTTTTTGGTCCTCCATTGCACAAACGACATTCTGTGGGGGAAGGATACTGGTGCAAAAACAATAATTTAGAAATCAATGCTGTTTATTGTTCCCCTTGAGATCCAGTCTCCACCAGCAGCACCAGAGAATCAGACATTTCTAAGCAAAGATCTTGTTCAGACAACACTCAACTCTGCTCCTCCAGAGTTTGGGAATTTGGAGCACCCCCACAAGCTCAAATACTCCCTCCCCCTCTCCCAGTTTGCAGACATCCTACTGTTGTTTTTTTTATAAAGAATTATTCAATTTCAAAACATTAGTCAATACAGATCTCAAACCTTAGAGACTGACCCCCACCAAACTTTCCCTGGGTCTCCTTATAGCCCAGATTCTTGCTTCAGTCAGGGCAATGAAACACCTTGGATGGAACAGGTACCCTGGTTCTTACAGCATGCTTGAATATTTTCAGTTGTGCTAAAAACCATATTTACATTTCCAGAACAGCTGATCTGAAGGGGGGCGAGTCACAAGGACCAGACATATAATTTTAGTTGGAACTGTCTTCTTCTTGATATGGTGTTAATATTCAGTAATGCTGCACTGGAAACTCATGCAACCTTTGTTCCTCATTGACAGACTGACAGACACCCAATTTAGTATTTACAGCACACAACCTATGAGTGGCTGCTCCTATGAGGGCCTGCTCCAAGTTCCCTCACTTTTGGAGGCCATGTGGGTGGCAAATGGAGACGGAGCTTTTTCTGTGATGGCACCTCATTTATGGTATTATCTAGCCACAGATAATTGTGTGGTGCTAATTTTTCTTTCTTTTAAGTGTCACCATGCAAGTAGAGATTGGTTTTACTTCTTCTTCTATTTTACTTTACTGTGATTTAAGTTTTAGAAGTTTTTTGCCCTGCTTTCTTACTTGGGTTCTGGCATCAAAGTGCTTCAGTTTATCTTTTGGCTTCTGCCCATTCTCTTGAGCCATTTGTTTTCACCTTGTATTCCCTTGTATTCCCCTCACCTTCTTTTGGGACCCCCCTCCCAGGGTTGCCAAGTCCTCCCTGGCCACCAGCAGGGCGGGGGGTGGGGAGGTAGGGATGCCAGTTCCAGATTGGGGAACTCCTGGAGTAGAGCCTGGGGAGGTCAGGGATCTCAAAGGGGCACAATGCCACAGAGTTCGCCCTCCAAAGCATGCATTTTCTTCAGGAGAACTGATCTCTGTAGTCTATAGATGAGCCGTAATTCCAGGGGATCCCCAGGTTCCACCTGGAGGATGACATCCCTACCCCCAAACTTTATTTTTGTGTATATGCTTGATTGCCCGCAAGGCAAACTACAAAGAAATATAACATTTAAAAGGTGAAAAAGCAATACTTAAAAAAAAATTGTGTAGTCATATGGTCACCAACTCCAGGTCGGGCAATTCCTAGATATTTGAGGGTGGGGCCTGGGGAGGGAGCTCAGTAGGGATTGGATGACATAGAGTCTGCCTTCCAAAGCTGCCCTTTCCCCCAGGGGAACAGATTTCTGTTGTCTGGAGATCAGTTCCAGGAGGTCTCCAGGCCCCACCTGAAGGCCGGCAACCTTGCGTCAGAATCAGGACCTTTGTTAAAGTACCACTGCAAAAGGTGCAGTTGAACAATACCTTTTCACTAGGACCAAAACTGAGCACAAACAAGAACCGGGGGGGGGGGGGGGGTTGAAAAAAAAAAAAAAGGATGTTGCAGGGCAGGCTAGAAGAGCCCACTGTGATGTTATTGTCTTCCAGTTCTTCTCAAGACAGTCTTGTTTTGCTACTTAAGACTGGAAATCACCTACACAGGAAGGCTGGAGGTTAGACAAATGTAGTAACTGCTTTATGCTACCCTCCCATTTCAGAGAGGCAGACCTTTGGTTATCATTTCCTACCTCTCCTCTGTTTCTTCCTATTTATTCATACCCCACTTTACTTTTCAAGAGGGGGGGGGGGGCACACCAGTTCTCGTCTCTTCTGAGGGCTGCCAACCTCTAGGTGGGGCCTGAAGATACCACAGAATTCTAACTGATCTCCAGACTGCAGAGATTAGTTCCCCTGGAGAAAAAAATGACAGCTTTGAAAGGTGGTTTCTATGGCATTATAACCCACTGAGGTCCTGCATTTCCCCAACTCTGTCTTCCCCAGGCTCAAATCTCCAGAAATTTCCCAACCTGGAGATAGCAACCCTATGGTGAGGTTGGTGAGACAACAGTGACTGTCCCAAGGTCAGCCAGTGAGTTCCCATGGCATAGTAGGGGTCTAAACCTGGGTCTCTCAGATCCTAATTCAACACCCTAACCCTTACACCACACAAAGAAAATATCTAAGATTTGAAAACAGCTTTTTTCTTTCCGGATGAGCAATATGACAGACCGGGGGGGGGGGGGGGGGGGACGAACACACACACACATAGAAATAAATCTGGCTCAACTACTGTTCAGTCTCTCCCAAAATGAAAGCACTGTGACATATGAGTTTGCAGGCACAATACAACAATTCCAAGCCTGTGCAACCTGACGTAGTTTCCGCTTTAAAAGGGAAAAAGTCCTCTCTGTTCTAACGGCCATCAGATTGAAGAGAAAGCAAATCCCCCCCCCCCTCCCTTTTGTCCTTAAAGAATTACTAGAACTCGAAGGGAAGCCCTTATTTCGGGTTCTCCAGCCTTTCACTCACTCTCTCCCCGCCCATTCTCTTACATTGCTGGCAGGCAGACAGAAGGGATACTGCAGCAAGCCAAATCAAATCACCAGCCATTTTCTCAGCACCTTCTGGTCTTTCTTGCGGCTACAAAACCTGCAACACGTGGAAGAAAGACTTGGGAGGAAAAGGGGTGGAGGACAGGGCGATAGGTAGCGCCGTGTGCGAAGAACGCATCTCGCAAGGAATGCAGCGCCGCAAGTTTTCGTCAAAGAAACGGAGCGCTTCGTTACTCTTTCTCTTTAAGAAGCTTGAAGACGGTTTCCAGCCGTACAACAAACTGAACAGAGCAAACAAATAGGTCAGCAAGCCGGGTGTCGACGCTCAGTTGTCCAGGCGAGTCTTCGTCAAGCTTTAAAGGCATGCACAACCTCATCGTATGCATATTTACTCTGAAGTAAACTCCAGTTTATTAGTAAAGCTGGGATTGCTGCATTTAGATAATCACTATAAATTCCATTCTCTGTTATTCATTATCAGCCTTCCTAAATTGAACGAATTCACTCAAATAGTGGTTGACTTTTCCATCTTTTGCAAACTCGACAGTGTTATTTATTGTGACAGAGATCCACACGTTAATGGTCTGTTGTGAGAGCAGTTGACATGAATATTCACAATCTGTTGAGAAAACTGACCAAAATGTCCAGTTTTGCTCTTCAAAATTTGAATGCAACATTGTGAATTTGACAACTACAAAAAAACAACAGAAAACCTTGAACTTTCATTGATTTTAACATGCATCACAATGAACACAGGCAAAAAGGGAACACAAAATCTCAACTTTCCCATTCCCACTACATATGACCCACATATACATGGATGTGAGTGACCATTTTACTGTAGAATTCAAGAGTCTTAGAGGCCTACCCTGAACAGAATTGTACCCTTCTAAGTGGATGCAGGTCAAGGTCATAGAGGGGTGTGACTCTTATGATCCCATAGTTAGACCTGCTAGCATATCTTTATGAATTGATATTTGCACCCAATATGAAATCTCATAAATTGATGTATGTCTAATACAAAATACCACTGCATATCAACTATGAAACAATTCACTTTTTAAAACATCTACTCATTTCATATTTTTTCTCATCATTTTTTCTTTGTAAATCTCTATTTAATCAAGAAAATCTTAAACTTATTTTTAGGTTATTGTTTCTGAATTTATATATTTTTACATATTTATAAAAAGTATAAGCACCCTACCCTAACTCCAACATCCAATACAGTAAAAAAGTACTTTAAAGGGAATTAACAATAATCATAGTAATAATAAATGGGGAAAATCCCCCAAGTCTGTGCAGTTGTGGTGGGAAGGGAAGAGAGCATCAGATGTTCCTGGCCATATAATATCACAGCCCTTGGGACTCTTCAGAAGTGCATTTCATTCTCCTGTAAAATGTGTGAGGTGGAGATAATACCACCAGTTCCACTCCAATTCCAACATATAGTAGGCAAAATTGTGAATGGATTCTATTCTCAAACAAAGAGTAGAACCGTATATGTCAGTGTGAATGTAGTGGTTAGTGTGGATCTGGGAGACCCAGGCTGACAAGGTATATAATTATTTTATATTATTTTATCTCAGTGATATGAAATTATAATTCTATTCTATTAGTTTCATTTACTTGGTTTTTCATTTTTAAAATCAATTTTGTGAATAGTTTTACTGAAATGTAGCATCATTTAAAAACAAATAAGAACAAAGATAAAACCTCTTCAGCTGTCAGGTCACACATTCCTCATAGTACTATGTCCAGTGTACTCCATAGGGATATGATATATAGGTGAGGATACAGAGAGCTATGGTAAGTTTATTTGACCATCAAAAGAGGACAAACAAAATTGAGTAATCTCTTCTTCTATATATATATAAAAGAAAGTCCCCTCACCATAAAATCAACGCCCTGGCCAAACCACTAGACCTAGAGACACCAAATTCGGGGAGAGCGCCCCTACTGTGGCGTAGGTGCTCACTAAGAAGGGATTTTTAGAAATTCGACCCCTAAGTGGCTCAAAAGGGAGAAAATGTGCTCCCCCTGTTGATTCCTATGTGGCTGCCAGGCAGCTGCCTCTCTGCACCCTCCACGCTCTTATTGGTCAGCTGCAGAGTTCAGTGTTCTGACGGGGAAAACCCCCCAACAATTACAAGGGACTGCAGAGAGATAATGACAGCTGAGGAAATCAGGAGTGGCCAAGAACCAACTGTGATGTGAAGCAAAGCTGCTGGCCCAGCCTCTCTGATGGCTTCCAACACACTCCCCCCCACCTCCTACACCTAACAGGTAGTTGTCTGTCAGATGCAGCCCCACCTCCACAGTGACTTCTAATACTCCTCCCTCCTCCCCCTCCTACACTGGACAGGCAGCTGCCTGTCAGGTGTAGGAGAGGAGGTGGGATGGCTTCAACACACGCCCTCCACTTCCTACACCTAACAGGCGGTTGTCTGTCAGGTGCAGCAGCGGTTACAGGGTGCTTAAAGCCATGAGCCCCAGCAGTAACTGGGGCGGCCAGGCTGTTGATGGGCCTCCCGATGCAGGAGCACATCCAGCCTGTGCTAAAGGCATTATACTGGCTGCCAATAGCTTTCCGTATCCGCTTCAAGGTGCTGGTTTTGACCTTTAAAGCCCTATATGCTCAGGGACCTGTCTACCTGAGGGACCGCCTTTCCCCGTATGTTCCACAGAGAGCACTGAGATCTGGGATGCAACATCGCCTGACCCTTCCTGGCCCTAAAGAGACCAGGTTGACAACAACTAGGTCTAGAGCATTTTCGCTAGCTGAACCAGCATATTGGAATGAGCTCCCCAGTGAGATCCAGGCCCTGCGAGATCTCCAGCAATTTCTCAGGGCCGTGAAGATGGAGCTTTTCCGCCGGGCATACAAGTGAGAGCGATGGTATGCCAGCCAAGCCTGCCGACCAGCCAAGCCTGCCGACCAGTCGTAATGATTTACCGAACCGCTTTTATTTATATTTATTGTACTTATGTAAGTTGTTTTATGGATTAATGTTTTATCTATGTTGGTTTTATCAGTGTTGTGAGCCGCCCTGAGCCGCTTCGGAGGAAGGGCGGGATAAAAGTCAAATAAATAAATAAATAAGTCTGGGCCTCCATGCCCAGTTTGCAGACCTTCCAGGCCACACCTGTTGGCCATATTGAGAAACAGGATTCCAGACTGGAGGGAACACAGGTGTTGCCACCATGGAATTGCATTGGTATGTGTGTGTTTTGGGGGAGCCACAGGGCAATTTAGGATGTGACACAGAAGAGAACTTTCTCTGCTCAGTTATTTTCCTTGCTGCTTTCACAAGATAATTGATCTTCTCATGACTATTGGCACAACAGGGCTTCTCAGTGCTACTGTTGTTGTAGGTTAGAGCTAGTCTGCCACACTGGATCAACAAGATAAGGTGAGGTCAATGTAATTAGAAGGGTGTAGCCACATTACCACTCCCTCACACCAACTCCCCCTCACACCTCTCACCTCTTACTGCCCCCAGGAAACGTCGAGCTAGATAAACCAATGCTACAAGGAGGAGGCAACTTAGGAATGTGGCAAAGACATGTGCACATAGTACTCCTGCGAGGCACTGAGCTGCACAGGCCAAGTACCAGTAAGATCACCCTGAGGTGCTCAGAACAACACAGTATCCATATGAGCAAAACAATCCAGGAACACAAGTAGAGAAGCCATCACTTTCGTGGAAGGTAGCAGGAGCTGACTTAACAGATGAGTGCTTCTTAAATGGACAGTTCTATGTGGCCTGCTCCAGAGTGAGCTCATCAAGCAGCCTGGTGATCCTAGCACCTGAGGGCAGAACCACCAATGTGGTCTGGAGAGAGGTCCTTCAGTGTGTGTGTGGGGGAAGTACGTATGTCTCACTTCATTTCCTACACTACAATCTTCTCTGTTAGAATTCCTACAACAAATGTCACATTTCATATTTCACATCATCAGTATTATACCTGGATTTACAGAACTTAAATACCATAGCGAAGCATGGGAAGCAGGCTAGTATACATATAAAAGAAAGACCAATCACCATAAAATCAGTACCCAGGCCAAACCCTTGGGCCTAGAAACACAAAATTCGGGGAGAGCTCTCCTACCATGACGTAAGAAGGGATTTTTAGAAATTCGACTCCTAAGTGGTCTTCTGAATATTACAGCGCTAAGGCAGTCCTGCTAAGCAAGCCTCCCTGATGGCTGTAAACATCCCACCCCCTCTCCTACACCTGACAGGCAGCTGCCTGTCCAGTGGGGGGGGGGGGGGGTATCGCAAGCCATTGTGGAGGCTAGGCCAGCAGGATGACTAAGGGGCAGGTTCCTGCTAGGGGGGGCTCCCTGATGGCTTTAAGCACTCTGCACGTGCTGTTGCACCTGACAGACAAGCCACCTGTCAGGTGTAAGAGGTGGGGTGAGTGTATTTTAAGCCATTGAGGAGGCTGGGCCAACAGCATTGCTGTACCTAACAGGTGGTTGGTCATTCCTGATTTCCTCAACTGTCATTAACTCTCTGCAGTCTCCTGTAACTTTTTTTTTAACCTCAGAACACTGAGCTCTGCATATGTATGTATATGGAAAATATACATAAAATTGGGTACATTTTATGAAGGCAATAGAAGGCTTTGCTGGTATTTTGTTTTTTTTAAATAAATAGACCAAGTTGAGTGGTCCAGTAGGGGAACATATAATCTCCACAGGTTAACAACAGAGTGATTCTTATGACAGGGGAGATCCTGGGGCACTCATGCACACTTGCTGTCAGTGCCCATGGCATACATTCAACCATAGTTCACTAACCACTCATAGCAACAAAGGTAATACAAGACAGAGAGAATAGTATAGGTTATTGCCTGCATTCCCTCACACAAAGAAATAAGTGGTGTGAATGCTAGAGCTATGTAATTTCTTTAAAGAAGAAGCACTGTCTGAAGGAAAAGATGTTTGGATTCTACAAAACAATGGAGTAACAATTATTCTAATTTTGGAATGATGCTCAAATCCCCGCGCTATAATTATTGCCCCCTCCCATGATCAACTGAAAAGTTCCCAAGCAATAGGAAACAAATGGTGTCATAATACTCCCCCCTGTCCATGCCTCTTTGTTACTC